AAAAACGAAATTAAAAAAGCATTCTATCACCTAATAAATGCAAAAAAAAAACCTATTTAAAAATTTGGAATTACAGTTGAGTGTCATTCAATTTTGCCGTTTTTTTCCCCTTTTTTGGAAAAAATCAGTTTTTTTTTTCGAGAAGAAAAAAAGCAAAAAAAAAAAAAGAAAACATAAATACTCTTCAGTTGTCTAATTTTTTTTTCATTTGACAGTTAAAATCTGCTTCTTGTTTTTTCTCGCTTTTCTTACCACTGTCGTTATTGGAAAACTAAGCAACAGAAGTAATAAGTAATATTTTAAGCTGATAACTGAATGAATACAGCAACAACAACAACGGTAGAACTTGCTGTATATTATTCTGTTAAAAAACGTTATAATTGAGTTTAGTTTAGTAACCATTTCAACAATCTTCCTATTTTTCATTTTTTTTTCTTGAAATTAACAACTGTAATTATTGTTTTAATCAAAAACATCAAGAAAAAAAAACAGAATTTTTTCTTAGAGTGGTCAGTCTGATGTGTAGTCAATTAAACGGGTAGTAGTCCAAAGTGAATGCCTAAAGACCATAGCAGCAATTTTCAGAGCTAAATGGTGGCTTTAGCATTTACTTAGCATTTAGCTGTTACTTTGACAAAACAAATTTAACTTGCGAACTTTTTCTGTGTCAAAATATTTACCAAAAAAATAAAAAATAAGGCAAATTTTTTCTTTTTTATTACTTAAAAAGCAGTTTTTTATCTTTTTTATTGAAAATGTATCTTTTCTTTGCTCTTTTGTATAAAAATTGAACTGAAAAGCAGAGCAAAGCACGACAAAAAAAAAAGTAAAAAACAAAAGAGCAGAAAAAAATGCCTATAAAACAGTGAATGTATACCGTCATTAAAACTGCACATTTCAACTATATAAATTCCAAAGAAAAAATTTTTTTTGCCAGTTCAAAAACTTTTTTAATTATTATTATACAAATACGCAGAAACACAAATATGTGTTCTTTTAACGACATTACCGAATGCAGAAAAAAACTCAAGTGAGACTAAAATCAAAGTCAAAAAAAAATTGCCACTTCAGCATCGACACTCCAAAAATGTTGTCGTTTTTTTTTTCTTCATTTTTTTGCAATAAAAAACAGACCAAAACACATTTAATATGAAGGAAAAACAGTTGTGCGATTTGACGTGGAATTGCCCATATATATATATATATATATATATATATATATATATATACGATATATATATATATATATATATATATATATATATATATAATAAAACAATTACATACCAAAAATAATGATTATTATCTTACTTACCAGCATACTTTCAAATGGTCAAAATTTGAATTTTTTTTATAACAGAGTACTT